CTGCGCGGGGATTTCTTTCCATGTGCGCGGCCGCGCACGCGCGCACCTTAGAGGGAACAGTGACTATGTCCACAGCACAGTGTAACATTTGTAACAGTTCTGTGAACATAGTCTGTGGACATTTGTGACATAGTTTTAAAAAGCTTAATCAGATTAGTTTGACATGATCTGGATATTATCTGCCCTCAGTAAAGCAATACTGTTTTGAGTCCAACCAATTGTGTGGTTTTAAATGTTGTTAATTTTTTTTTTTTTGAGGACTACAGTTACTACAGTTCATTGTACAGCTCATTGGCCTATAGCAGTAATGGCAAACCTTTTTGCCGTTGCGTGCCAAAAGTGGGAGTAGTTGGGGGTTCGCACATGCCCACACACATAATGCAATACGCCCCCACCCCCACACATGCAAGTCTGACCACCCTACATGCACATGTCACCACCACCCCACGCTTGCATATGTGAACGCATGCACATGTGACCCACCCTCCCATGCTCCCCCACCCCTCACACTTGTACCCTTTCCCGCCTGTTTTGGCCCTGGAAAGCCTCCTACCCCAACCTGGAACCCAAAACATGGCAGGCAGCTAGTTTCTGCCAGTTTCTCCCCTGTGCTTGCCAGCCTGGCCGCCACAGTCAGGGAAGGCCCTGAAGCTGTGCTGCCCGGGATCCACATTGGAGGCCATTCACGCTTGCAAAGCAGCATTGCCTCTTTACTGGAGCCACTGCTTCTTTGCAGAGGCAGCAGCAGCTCCTCTTCCACCTGCCAGCCTTGCTTCCTTACCCTGCAAGAGAGTTGCAGCTACCTGATCCTCAGAGTGCTATCTGATCTAAGAGGCCTATACTGGAGAGCAGCCACCAGAGACTTATAAAGGAAAGGTCTTTCAACTTCAAGGGGGTCAGAGAAAGAGAGGGGAATGCCAGTCCTTCCTTTCTTGGCTGTGAAGTCTTAGCACCAAACTTTTAAATGAGCACCATAACTGAAAGCCAGAAGCCAGATGGACAATGACCTGCCTTGATCTTTCTGCCGAAAGTAACTGCTCGGCTCCATCCCGTCTTGGCTTCTGATAGCTGCAAGACACGCTGCCTTCCTCCAACTTTCTCCCAAGACCCTTTGCGCAGGAAGGGGGATCTAGGGAGGAAAGAAGGCGGGTGTGTTTCCAGGGGTGGCAAGCAGTAAGGAGCGAAAGGTAGCTTCGCTTGCAGAGCCCAACCAGTGAGAGTAAAGTCTTGTTTCTTTGTGCATAAAAGCGGCTGAAGGTGCTCTCTTAGCCCATAAATAGAATGGAATAGTTGTGTATCTGTGTTTGTGTACGTCTGTGTGTCTTGTGTTTTTTACGTTTGAGTTACATATAACGTTTCCACGACCCCAGTTATTTTTCTTTTGGGAAAGGAGACTTTAAAAAAAGGTGTGAGCGACTGCCTCTTTCTCCAGATTTCGCAGCTGTGTGCTGTGTGCATGGCGGCGGCCAATGCAAAAGGAACAAGATGCCTGACGCTCAGCTGTGCAGGCCCGCAGCCTTTGCAGGGGCAGCAGCACCAGCAAAGTTATGTGGGTAAGCCACACACTCCACTGGCGCAGGCCATGTCGGAAATCAACCGACCAGCTTCATGGGGCTGCAGAACTGAGCATTGGTCTACCTGCTTCTCTTGCACTGGCCACCACCATGGACATAGCTGATCGGCGCTCCAACAAGGCTTCTCCGGAGCATAGTTGTAGTCACTGGCACCATAGACTTCTCTCTCACACACAAACACACATGCACACACATACACGCACACACACCAGGACCTTTCTTCTCCCCCCCTCCCCACGGTAAGGCATACCCCAAGGTTTGATAACAAGGCTGGCAGGAGGAGGAGGAGTCGCCGCCGGCTCTTCAAAGATGCAAGCGGTGCCGGCAAAGAGGCAACACCACTTTGCCAGGACAAATGGCGTCCAACATGGATCCTGGGCAGCGCAGCTTCGGGGCCTTTCCTGAAGAAGGGTGTGAGGCAGGTGGGCTCATGGGAGCAACTGGCAGCAGTGCTCCTGCCTGGCAAGGAGGGGATGTCCCAGGGCTGCATGCGGGCACCAATGGCTAGCTAGTCTTCTGGTTACTGGCATGTATGTGTGCACGACGATCAGCCAGCCAGGCTAATCTTCCAGTTTCTGGCATTGCTGCAAGTGTGAAGGCCAGCTGATCATCACATGCGCATGTGCACCAGTAACCAGAAGACTAGGTGGCCGGTGCGCATACATGCATCAAAAACCAGGAAGAGGAATGGGCGATGCCATGCATGCCAGGTGACATGGCTCTGCGTGCCACTTCTGGCACGCATGTCATAGATTCGCCATCAGGGGCCTATAGTTTCCAACTTCTTCCCTATTCCCCTTCTTGTACATGGGTACAATATTAGTTGTTTGCCAATTTTGGGAAGTTTCACCTGTTACAAAAGATTGGTTAAACAGACCAGTTAATGGTCTAACAGGTTCCTTTAGAAATCTGGGATGAATACCATCTTGATCCATTGTTTTAATATGCTTTACCTCCACCTCTGAAAATCCTGGGAAAGAACCTGCACAGCTATGACTAGTATGATCCCCCAATCTGATTTTGTTACTGGCATCTACTACTGAGAAGACTGAGCAGAATTTGTTTAAATGGTTTTTTATAGCCAGGTTTCGCTTAACATATCTGTCAGCTACATTTCTGCTATCTGCTTACATGCTAGTTTTTTGCTCTTTTACTATCTTACATACATCTGATATGAACCAGATTAGATATTGCTTTCTTTTGCTTTTACTAATGCCTTATTCTCCTTGGTTAAGATAACTGATTAAGGGGAGTCCTTGATAAGGATGATTAGGGTACCGGAGACTAAAACATATAAAGAACGGTTGCTGGAATTGGGTATTTCTAGTTTAATGAAAAGTAGGAATAGGGGTGACATGATAGCAGTATTCCAGTATCTAAGGGGCTGCAATGAAAAGGGAGTCAACCTATTCTCCAAAGCACCTGAAGGCAGGACAAGAAACAATGGATGGAAATTGATCAAAGAGAGAAGTAAGCTAGAACTATGGAGACATTTCCTGACAGTTAAAACAGTTAATCAGTGGACTCCAGAAGTTGTGAATTCTCCGACACTAGGAAATTTTTAAGACAAGTTTGGACAGCCATTTGTCTGAAATGGTATAGTTTTTCCTGCTTGAGCACAAGATCTCCAAATTCCCAACTCTGTTATTCTGTATTCTATTCTGACTAATCTTACCTTAATTTTTTAAAAAAGGGCAATATTTTGAAAGTACCTGATATAAAAACAGTTATCTAGCTCTGTAGATGATCTGTATATATTTTTATTAAGGGTATGTGTATCTGTCTTTGTTAGATTTGCAGTGGGTCTGGAATAGTAGATCTACGAACAGGAACTGGTGTGACTGATACAGGCCGAACAGTTCTTGACAACAAAACTTCATTACTTAACACTATGCCTCTTCATTCCTCCCCACGGTCACGTGATTATAATCCATACAATTATTCTGATAGTGTTGGTTCTTTTAATAAATCAGCTTTAAAAGAGGCTATGTTTGATGATGATGCAGATCAGTTTCCTGATGGTAAGTCTGTCACAAAGAGAATTGGGGAATGGGTATATTGGAAGGAAAAATGCAATCAACTGTAAATAGAATTACTATATGAACTAAGGGAAATAAGTTATATACATAGGAAAATATGATATTCAAGAGTTTAATGTGAAAACAAAGTTTTATTTGTTATAAAAATTAAATGTTATATCATCTAATATGCATCACTTAGCTCTTCATTGCTAGATTTGTTCCCAAATAGGACACTTTATAATGATAGTAAATAAAGAACAATTGTACTAGTAGAATTTAATGGAATATCTACTTAAGAAAAAAGCTTCTTCCAGTAAGATATTTGAATATTCTTATTTTATTTTCCAAAATGAAATTTAATTCACAAATACATTGAAGAAGATTTATTAAATAATAAAAATTAAATCTCACATTTATTCCTATTCAAAGAGTATAAAAGACATTATGGCTTTGGAAATACGGTATTTTTCAGAGTATAAGACGCACCATTTTCCCTCAAAAAGAAAAAGGCTGAAAATCTGGGTGCATCTTATACACTGAATACATCATTTTTTGCCTCCCGAAAACCCGTCCCCTTCACCAAAATGGCTGTGCGTAGCCTTTAGGAGCCTTGCAGAGTGCTCCTGGCGGCTGGGGAGAGTGGAAATGAGTAAAAAATGGGCTTTTTTTGCTCAATTTTGCCTCCCCAGCCCCTAGGAGCACTCTATAAGCCCTTTTTTTTTGACAAAAAACAGGCCCATTTTTGTGAAAAATGGGCCAGTTTTTGCTCAATTTTGACCCCATCCCCCCAGGAGCACTCTACAAGCCTCCTAAAGGCTATTCATGCCCCCCTTTTTTGGAGAAAAAAAACGGGCCCGTTTTTGGGAGGTCTGCAGAGTGCAAAAACTTTTTTTTTTAATTTGCCTCTTCAAAACCTTGGTGCGTCTTATACTCCGAAAAATATGGTAAATAAATAGCCCCCTGAATAATGTTGATTTCCAGTTCCTCTCAATACATGCTATTCATAATCATTGTTTATTTAGGTAACTTTTATATGGACGAAATGAGTATGGCCAAGTAAGCAATCTAATATACTGTACGTTATTAGAGTTTTGATTAAAATAGTCCTTTTCAAGTCACACTTGACTCATCATAGATACTTCCATTTAGTTTTCTTTGTACAAGAATTGGCCTGATACTTCCTTTTTCTAGTGTTTTTCATTTTATACTACGCATGCAGTTATGCAGATTTTATTTCTAGAAGCTAAGGTTCATCTTTTTTCTAAAGATAATGTAGTATTTCCTTCAATATACAATATGAATTAATTCTATTGATACTTTGTTAATGCAGCCTAAGAAGAAAACATGTCACATATTTTTAGTGTCTTTTAAGATTTCTCTTAAGATAAAGAGGAGAAAGAATCTAAATCATTGGTTCTTAAACTGGGGTGATTACCCTCAAGGAGTAATTTGGACATATTTTCAGTTTGGGCTTATTTGTGACTTTTGCAGATCCTGTTTGAGAGTGCCATTGCTAAGATGTTTGTGTAAAATAAATACTGATATTTTTGTGGAAGTAATAACATTTTAGATCAGGAAAGGGTAAATAGGATCAAAAAAATTAAGAACTATTTGATGTGAGATCAAATTCTGGGACATGTATATTTGTCTTCATCCATAAGAATGAATAGCCTAAGCCAGTGATGGCAAACCTTTTTGTAAAGGCATGCCAAAATTGTGTGTATGCGTGCTACCCACAATTCAATGTGCCCTGCTCATCTGTGCATGTGCACCCCTCCCACACAGGGGAGAGTCTTTGCCCTACCCAGGCTCCAGAGGTTTTCCTGAAGCCTGGGGAGGGCAAAAACAGCCTCCCCCAGCCCTCTGGAGGGTGGAAAATCAACTGGGGCGCCAGAGCTGATGGCTTGTATGCCAGCAAATATGGCTCCACGTGCCACCTGTGGCACATGTGCCATCAGTTCTCCATCATGATCCTAAGCCTTCCATAAGTAAGGCTCTTAAAGTGATCACTGCAGAAACTTCATTTTTCTCCCCATTAATTTGGGCTTAAAGAGTATCTTCATTAATAGCACTCTATAGAAAGAGATGATCCTCTTACATCCTTTTTGCTCCCCCCCCCCCAAAAAAAAATCTTGACTCCCAGTGAGTGCTGAAGAGAACATTCTTGTCCATAGTAGGAGATTTTAATGATAAATGCCATATTTTGTAATAAAATATGATATCAGGATTATGTTCAATTTTACAGTTTTTATTGATTGTATATCTTCACATGTAAAGTAAAAAGAATGGTTACTCTTTTTACTAATTAAATAATTTTAATTTTTCTTTTGTTACAGAACCTTCCCTGGACCATTCTGATCTAGTCGCAGAATTGCTAAAGGAATTATCAAACCATAATGAGAGAGCTGAAGAACGGAAGGCTGCTCTTTATGAGCTAATGAAATTGACTCAGGAGGAGTCTTTTGGTGTTTGGGATGAGCACTTCAAAACAATTCTTCTTTTGTTACTTGAAACTCTTGGAGACAAAGAGGTAAATCCCAAAATGGAGAAAGAAAAATCATATAACAGTTTTTTGCTTATCCTTTTATAATTATTAAATGTATAACTTTAATTTACACAACTCAAAGTGGCATACATAATGTTCTGATATTCACTTTTGGCCACAATAATAACATTGTAAGCTGTGTTGATCTGAAATATAATAACTACGCCAAAATTTTCCATCACGCTTTCATAATGGGAGGACTAAAATCCACAGTCAAGAGCCAAGGTGGCGCAGTGGTTAAAATGCAGCACTGCAGGCTACTGCTAGATCAGCAGGTCAGCGGT